TAACGCGGTACATAAGGTTAACGCCCTATATCTAACGCGGTACATAAGGTTAACGCCCTATATCTTACGCGGTACATAAGATTAACGCCATGTATCTAACGCGACAAATAAGGTTAACGCTCTGTATATAACGCGGTACACAAGGTTGACGACATATATCTAACGCGGTACACAAGGTTGACGACCTATATCTAACGGGGTACATAAGGTTAACGCCATATATCTAACGCGGTACATGCGGTTAACGCCCTGTATTTAATGCGGTTCATGAGGTCAACGCCCTGTATTTAATGCGGTTCATGAGGATATGAAAGACTTGTGTAGAAGAGACAACTATGAATGTGGTACTTGGGAAGTCATTATTTTACCCCCGAAGTTCCCACATTAAAATGATTGCGTTAACGTAAAATATAGAATAAACAATCATAAAGAATTGTCTCCTTATGAATAAACTATCCCACTATTGTTGTTTGATTTTCTCGGTTGCAATAAGGTCATAATGTGACGTAATGTTTACTTGTTTATAAAAACAGGTGTCAGCACAAATATTGATACTTCCGGCGCGATAAGAGCGGGAAATGTTGGTGACCAAAAGCAAACTTGACGATTTCTTCAATTATTATGGCGACTTTTCATGTCCTCGAGGTTTCTGTTTTTGAAGTTGAATTATATAATCATTATCATATATCTGTTGTAAAAGAAATCTATGGTACTGACGATTCGATACGCTCGGATGTTATCCCTACATATAAACGTACAAATAAGTATGTTCCGGGAGGCAGAAAACCAGAGTTCGACAATTATAAACATTTTTGATAGTTTTATTTCACCGATGTTTATTTAAATTTTGACGGTCTACAAGTGCGAAAAATAAAATCGTAAAAAAATAATCAAATAACCCATGTCTCGTATTCTACAATAATGTAATGTTATTTTCTTAAATGATCTAAATGGACTTACTCGTACATAACTAACATTCCTGGCTGAAGTATTCAGTTTTACCTAATCTACGTATATTATACATTATAAATGTAAATGAAGACAAATAAATGACTCAAAAAAATATAAAACGAATGTGTAATGGGACCTTACTGATGAAATAATTCTTGTTGGAACCGAATCGACTTTAAAAATAAATACTAAAACCCAATCAAAAGACAGAGATATCGGGATCGCTTGTCTGGACGTGTAAAGCTCACGAGGTAATGAAGATATTCATATAAAATATACCAGTAGCTTATTGATATACGCCAGCATGTCTAACATTGTCACGTGCAGTGACGTAAATAAATGAACGCAAGTTTTGTAAGAAAGTAGGGCTTCATGTAGGTCGAGCAAGTGCATGAATTTAAATAAGTTTCTTGTCACTTCCAGGCCTATGACTTATACAGTGAGTTAAGGCAAAGGAAAGTATACTCAAAATGAGGCTCTCTGTTAGTGAAGTGAGTACAAAACAAAAATAAAGCACAGTTTCATCGCTGTTGAGTACCAGAAAACCAAGGTTATCGTCACAACCAGGTCAACGACCAGTAATATGAGTAAACAAATATTGGCCGAAAAATAATTCAAGTTTACAGCCCTCTAAACCAGGTCTACGACCGTTTGAGTGAGTAAAATCAAGTCAAAACAACTCACAGCTAAGACTTCGGTAAGCATAGTATAGTGAGTACAAGCAAGTCAAACGTACTCATAACACCGACTTCGGTCAGCATAGTGAGTACAAGCAAGTCAAATGTATTCACAGCCAAGTGAGTACAAGCAAGTCAAATGTACTCACAGCCTAGACCTCGGTCAGCTTCACACAGCAAAGACTTCGGTCAGCATAGTGAGTACAAGCAAGTCAAACGTGTTCACAACCTAGACTTCGGTCAGCTTCTCACAGCAAAGACTTCGGTCAGCATAGGTCAAACGTATTCACAACCTAGACTTCGGTCAGCTATTCTCAAAACCAATGCTTCGGTCAACATAGTGAGTACAAGGTATTAAAATTTACTCAAATTTTTTGATCTTCAGAGTGCAAATATGCCTCTTTTTAACTCCACAACCAGGACACTGGGCGAATGACGCTGATGACGCAAACAGCATTTTTCTAGGGGCGAGTTAAGTCATTTACATATTTCTTCAATTAAAAGACAACTTTACATCACAAATTAGGTGCGATAACCCCGATGAAAATGACGTGAAAACTAACAGATGATGCAGTATGGTATTTCTTCGATCACACAAAAGAATGAAAATAAAGAGTCAAAAATAAAAATATCAAAAAATTCTCGCATATAAATTATAGGTAAAATGAGAGAAGTTAGAAAGGTTATCAGTGAAAATGGAGCCCTGGGGAACATCATTGAAATGTAAATAGCCTGCATAATGGCAAGTACAAAAATAATTAATATTTTTTGTTTGTTAGAACAGTAATTAGCTCGTGGCTCGTCTCCGTTGTATAGCACCGTGTGTCACTGAAACCATTGTGATTCACCTCCGAGCTCAGTGTGCCGAAAGTTCAGTGTGTCACAAAGCTTTAGTGTGTCACAAAGCTTATCGTGTCACAAAACTAAGTGAGTCACAGAGCTCAGTGCGTCACGGAGCTCAGTGTGTCAAAGTACTCTGTGTGTGTCACAGAGCTCAATGAATCTGACACGGAGCTCAGTGTGTCAAAGTATTCTGTGTGTCTCACAGAGACCAATGATTCTGACACTGAGATCGATAGTATTATGTCGAGGAGCTCAAGTGTGTCACAGGTTCTGAGTGTCACAGAGCTCAATGTGTCATGGAGCTTTATATGTGTCACAGGGCTCTATGCGTCAAACGTTTAGGGTGTCACTGAGCTCAAAGTGTCATAGAGCTGAATATATGTCACGGAGCTCAGCGCTTGACATATAGTCGATGTGTCACATAAAGCTCAGTGCGTCACGGAGCTCAATATGTGTCATGGATCTCGGTATGCGTCACGGAGCTCAATATGTGTCATGGATCTCAGTATGTGCCACTGCGGGCATAAAGGACACTTTTTAAGACACTGTCTTAAATATTTAGGTGCCAAGATAATCTACGTAATATATATATTATTCTAACGCATATGCACATTTAAGAAGATTGTAATTATCATATATGCTACTACCGTATGTACATAAGTTTGTCAAAATATATGTCAAATCCAAGTACATGCGCTCGTGCAGAAAAGGGAATATATTTGAATTGCTAATGAGTTTCGAAAAAATAAAACTTAAAAAAAAAAAAAAAAATATGCACAAAACTTGAAAGCTTCACACGGAGAGATAAGAACCAACTGAAGCAGACACGCTACATAGGTCTCGTGTTTGAACGCTGGTGTTAAATTTGAAATGTAAGCATGCACCTGTCATGTACGTTTCTTTACTTTCTTATATAACAGTTGATTTTTAACAAATATGTATGTGACTGAATGCACCAAAAATGCTTACGGCAGTTTTTCCTCAGAAGTTCAGCAATACAACAAAAATAAGAATTATTCCGCTTTATATTATCATTCCCCAATATCATGAAACCGGTCCACTTTAATTTTGTTGTCATTCTGTAATAGGTAGCTTTGACATTGTTGACAGACACTCGGCTCGTACATAAGTGTTTTTAAATAAAAGAAGCAGGTCACATTTCGGCAGTACATCCGTCGTAAAAATGATCTATTAAGCAATTTCATAGTGAACGAAGTCATGGAACATGATGATGTGTCAGTCCCAAATTATTTATAGCCCGGAACAAGCCACACGTTATAATAACTGTTGGCACTATGTGAGGCAATTAAACGTCTCCTACATTATGACATATTAGATATTAATGATCTAGGATAAAATAATAACTTACCCAACCTAATCAATTGGATATTGTTAAAAAAAAATCAATTAAATTTAATATCTAATTCATGGTTTTTTTACCAACCCCACTGATGCGCGTGCTAGTTACGTTTTTCTGATACATACTGAGATAGTGTCTACGTCACTGTGCCCTAAAACGTGCACGTGTCCCGACAGTAAATGAGCTAATTAAGTTGATGAATAAAATAAAACTCATTAGGGTCAAGGTTACGTTCTCCATACATAGTCAGTGGGATTTTTCTGCTGTCAATCTGATAACAGGGACAGCTACTATACTTACTAAATGAGATACAAACATGTTTTTGCTAACTAACTACTCTGTACGTAATCTGTACTTTATAAATAGCAATACATGCCTTCATAATTTTTATATCGCGAGATCTTATTGCCACGTTTAATGTCATTATGTTTATTTTGCTCTCACTTTGCCAAATTAGTTGCTATAGTCGGGCATAGTACACATATAAATACAATGTACGAATCCAAGGGGCGACAAATTAAGGGGAGGCTACCCAGAGGAACGTACGCAATGCCTTCAACGCTAGCCGTACCTTTTAGCTGCAAAATCGCCTTAAATTAAAATTAACGGGATTTTTTTCATGAGCCGGAAGGGATCTGGTTAAGTCGAAGCCTGTATTTAACTGTAACCCTGTCTAAACCCAAACTGTAGTATTGTAAAGAACCCTTCCCAAACCGACCTCGTAATAATAAGGAAACCGGTTTAAAACAGATTTTAAAATATATTCATTTAAAATTTAAAATATATTCATTTACTTTAAAACGCTTATTGACCTTCAATGTAATAAGGATTTATAATGGTAAAGAAATTATCAAACAAGCGGCAGTTGACAACAGCAACCGCGATATTAACTTTCCGCATTTTTTTATTTTTTTTTACAGCATTAATATACTCTTGAATTGTCCACTGTCTCGTATTGTGTATTTGCTTCTATTTCAGGATTTCCGTTACGAATCTATTATATCGAATACCATGAAAATACATGGATGACTGCCTTGTCGTTGACTCAATGATTTAAGGATCACGTGATCTGCCTCAGTATATATTTTTTATTCTTTCTCTGTGTGTGTGTGCTTTGATAAAAAAAAAAAAACAGACGGGGAATTCCCGCAAATGAACTGCAATTTACACCTGAAAAGTTGAAAGAAAAATATAACAGGTGAAAGGGTTTTGATCACCTTTTTTTCATTTTTAATTATTTTGAAACAGTTTCATATTGGAATTCAATATAATTAAAATAAATACTGTTTTTTACACGTTTGACATGGGGAAAAGAAGATTGTAAAACTGAAAGGAAAAAGATACAAGTGCTTGTTTTTTTCGTGTAACCTTCACGCGAAAATAAATCGCCAGTTCATAAAAAGATGATACAATGTATATTAAAAAATAAATATATGTTTTGGGTACTTATATGTGATGATAAACTACTACGGTTGCATTTCTCCCACCAGCTAACTATTACACTGAAAAGCTAGCCAGCACGCATGCGCACTCAGCTATTCACTATAAGTTTTTTAGTCACTGATTTGAGCGTCAAAGACACATCACTGTTGGACACCGCCTCCCATTATGAAATGAACAAGGAAATAAATACAGTTTATGTGACGTGGAAGCACGGGCGGCAGTATGACGTCACGGGCGGTCGGTATGACGTATGCTACAGTGGTATAACATAGCGATGAAATGGTGATGGAATGTTTTATGGTATCCATTTCTATAACAAATCTTCTTAAAATAAAGTTATCAAAATATCATTCGAAAATATATATATTATATATCATATAAGTTTATAGTTTATTACACGTTCAACGATTGGAGTGGAGTGATTTGTCCCATCCTAACGTGGCCTGACGGTCTGTTCACGATCAGAATTCTGTGTCAATCCGCAAACATGACGAGCACCAAAATAATCCCAATAGAAAATCTCATGAAATGCCTTAAAGAGGCGTGCTGATAGCGTAGTGGCCGCACCCCTTTTTCAATACACAAGAGATGACCACGCCCCCTTCTCACGACACATACACACGGGGCCACGCCCCACTCCTTGCCGGACACATAGGACCACTGTATGGATGAAAACAGGAAGTAACAACGGGACTGACGAATACATCTTTAGCACGTTAAGTTCCCGTCCCAAAAAAACTGCTGAATTTAATCGCTTACACTCCCAAGAGAGTCTTGCATATCGTAATTGTCGTCGACCTCCACGTTTTCATTATCAGAACATTGACCTTCATCATCATTATCAGAACATTGCTCTTGAATTGGTTCCAACTCGTCGGAAGAATCCATGTCCTCAATATTATTTATCTTCGCCTTCTCGAACGCGTAAGGTCCCTTTTCTCCTCGGAACTCACATATAACGTTGGTGAGGGCTTTGATGTAGTTTTTGGCTAGTGTAAGGGTTTCTATTTTTGATAACTTTCTTTCCAATTCAACATGGGGAATCACTTCTCGTAGGTCCTGGAATGCGTCATTTAAAGAATGCATGCGCATGCGCTCTCGTTCATTGCTTTCAATCCTACGTATATTCCGTTCCCTAGCACTCACACCCTTTCTACGTCTGGATGATTTTTTGGGGCTTTTCAGTTTCCGGTCTCCTGATTCTTCTGTGGTTGAACTTCCGCCGGAATCTGATGGTGACCCGGGTCCTTGTTTAAACGGCCGTTTCCGTATGTGGTAATCACTGGCTCGCAGTCCAGGAACATCCCAGTAGCTGTCTGTTGGTTGGTCGGCTTCTGTCATGTCGATGTCACAGGACGATCGAACGTCCTCAATTAACGAACGCATCACCTGCAATAGAGGGACAATGGTTAGATAGGTCTAGCAAAATGCCGAACGAAAATATCCTTTCATTTTTCAATTCCCTCAAATATGGCTCATAAAATCAGTGGATGTTTAAACTTCAAATAGACATCAAATATAAACATCAATTAGTTAATACAAAACTGCCAAAAAACTAATAGAAATGGGTTGCCAATGTTCTGTTTCGCATATTAATTTCCCTATCAACGGGCTTAATGCACATACGCATAGAAATAATTTTCCAAATACGTGTAATTTTGGACTTAAAAAAACCCCTATGTATGTTTAAATGCAAAATCAGCACATTATTATATTGGTAGCTAATAGTTGTTTAGAGGTTAGAGCATGCTCATCCAATTTAGGAACAAGTACTTCAAACGAACTAATTATTCAATTTTGAAAACATATAGTATGAATCCTTAAAGCTCGTATCATTAAACGTCTGCCTGACCCAGACTGCATATACACATGCACTGATGCACATCAGAGACTACCGTCTGTCTAGTTTAAACATTCCAATATTCTTTTTCTTGATGTAGTTTTTTTTTCTTCAATTACTTGACCTCTATGTTTTGTTTATTTAACTTAGAATCAATTACCCTAGCTCTAGTACGGTATAGAGTAACTCCTGGTTTTCAAAACTGGATGCCAGTAAATTTCTTACTTAAGAGACTCCAGTAAATTTCTTACTTAGAGACTGCCAACTTCACGTGTATCACACACATGTTCAGCGGAGCGTAACAGTAACATCAACCTCGTTAGCAGTCTGGTACTATACGTCTTGTTTAACAGTATACAACCTTTGACCCTAGATAATTTACTCTACGGTGAAACATGTTGATGAACCAAGATACTGAAACGCACAGTGGAAACGTTGACCCAAAATACTTGTATATACGATGACCTTAATTTAAAGTATAAACTCTGAAACGAGATACCTTAATGAACAGCATAAATGTTGACCCGATACACCTTAATGTACAGAATTAATGTTGACACGAGACACCTTAATAATGTACAGCATAAATATTGACCCGAGGCACCTTAATGTACAGCATACATGTTGACCCGAGACACCTTAATGTACAGCATAAATGTTGACCCGAGACACCTTAATGTACAGCATAAATGTTGACCTGAGACACCTTAATGTCCCGTAGAAAAGTGTATACCCAAAATATAAACGCTGACCCGAGATTTCATATAATGTACAATATAAACGACGGCCTGAGATACTATTAAAGTTGATCAATCGTTTGCCAAAGAAACATTAATGTACAGTATTAAAGTTAATTCCAAATGCAATGTACCATAATTTACAGTATATAAGTTGACCTGAGATACAATGTACCTGAATGTACAGTATAAATGTTGATCCGAGATACCGTAATGTACAGTATAAATGTTGTTGATCCGAGATACCGTAATGTTCAGTATAAATATTGATCCGAGATACCGTAATGTACAGTATAAATGTTGTTGATCCGAAAAACCGTAATGTACAGCATAAATATTGATTCGAGATACCGTAATGTACAGTATAAATGTTGTTGATCCGAGAAACCGTAATGTACAGCATAAATATTGATTCGAGATACCGTAATGTACAGCATAAATGTTGATCCGAGATACCGTAATGTACAGCATAAATTTTGATCCGAGATACTGTAATGTACAGCATAATTATTGATCCGAGATACCGTAATGTACAGTATAAATGTTGATCCGAGATACCGTAAGGTACAGTATAAAAGTTGATCAGGGATACCGTAATCACTGTATAAACAAGCGCCAAAGTATAAACCTGTCAATGACCCAAAATATCACAGTTTTACAGTATAGAAGTTGACTCGAGATATGAAAACTGACTCAAGAAACCTTATAGTGTACGTTTTAAACGGTGAAACAGGAAACACTCACATGGAAAATATACTGACCTAAGTAAGATGTGTTAATGAAGAGAATTAACGTTGACCCGAGATGTCTTGCTCTATAGCACAAACGTTGACCCGATATGTCTTACGCTATAGCCTAAACATTGACCGAAATGTCTTACGCTATATCCTAAACATTGACCCGAGATGTCTTACGCTATATCCTAAACATTGACCCGAGATGTCTTGCTCTATAGCACAAACGTTGACCCGAGATGTCTTACGCTATAGCCTAAACATTGACCGAGATGTCTTACGCTATATCCTAAACATTGACCCGAGATGTCTTGCTATAATATAGCCTTAACGTTGACCCGATATGTCTTGTTCTTTCGTACAGAGAGATTAGATTACCCGAGATGTCTTGCTCTTCAGCACAACTGGTGACCCAGGGTAACATGCGCCATATGTATAGTCGTTCACATGCCTCTGATGTCGCGAGGGTTGTTCCGGAGGAATCATTTGGCCTTTTGTTTACTCGGCCCGGCGCTGTAATGGCGGTTTGTTTGATTACGTACGGACCACCATCGTCACGAATGTAACGATACACGAAACAAACACTACATTCAAACAGCTAGCTCTGTTCGAATGTTTAGCTTACGATTACAGTGTAATGTCACGTATTATTCCGAGGCGAGAAGTCAAATGCTGTTTCACGATATCCAATAGAAATCATATTTACAGAGCATTAAGTTCAACTTATAAGTACAGTTTTTGTGCACATGTCAGCGTTGCTAACGTTTTCTATCGTTATATGGGACATGTCAGCATACTCTACAGGTCGTTAGAACATGTCTGTCGCCACTGTGTTATACCGTTCGTCAGGATAGGTCAACATTGCTAGTTTACTCTTCCGTTCGTAATGAAATGTCAACATTGCTAGTTGACTCTTCCGTTTGTCAGGATATGTCAACATTTCTTCTAAATTTTACTCTACCGTTGGTCAGGAAATGTCAACACTTAACTCTACCATTCGTCAGGACATGTCAACATTGTACTCTACCGTTCGTCAGGGCATGTCAACATTGTACTCTACCGTTTGTCAGGACCATGTCAACATTGTACAATACCGTTCGTCAGGACTATGTCAACATTTGTGCTCCTCCGTTCTTCAGGACCATGTCAAAATTGTACTTGAAATTTCTTCAGGATATGTCAATGATGTACTCTTCCGTTCGTCAGGACCATGTCAACATTGTACTCTACCGTTCGTCAGGACCATGTCAACATCGCTACCGTAGCTTATGTTTGATGGCGCACGTCTACAACACGGTACATTCAATCGATGTTCACAGCTGGTTTTATCGTTCATGTAGTTTCGGATAATTATAATCTTTTTTCGAAACAGATCGCTGTAAATTTCGATAATATAAAATATAACAATGGTATCCGTTAATACACACGTATCGGGATAAAAGTCCAGGTGTTTTATAAGTAAAATTGCTCCTTCGATGGGCGTACTATTTTATAATATTATGATACATTAGTGAACTAAGTTCAACATTTTGACCTGGGTAGCTCTTATCAGCTCCATACGACTATAAATACACGTGGTCATGTCGACATCAAACCTTATATCTCGTGGCCAGGAACAACCACACGCGCACTAACCATGAAAACACGTGAAATTCTGAACCTACACACTAATGTGCTCCCGGTCGACTTTTTTTGTACTTGTTTTATTTTCTACGGTCAGTGAATTTTGATATTTATTGGCCGGCAAAGCGCCACACGATGATCAGACGAATGTAAAGTCTCTCTTATCAGAATTACAAGACTAATCTCGAGCCCAATGAACAGATGTCGGCTTCCACGCCGACCGTACAACAAGTCGATACAGTAATCTGCTTTAGTTGAACAATATAGTAGGTGTAAGGTCTGTTCTCCAATGCGGCACAGAAAACCGGCGTACAGACAGACCAAAAGAGGATGCTCAATTTCACTTCAGCCAAACGATATTGACAAGCGCTCCACGCACCATCGGTTCCTGTAGCTTGCCCATAGTGGGATGTGGGTGTTTAATTCAGCGGACACGACAGTGCATCCTCCGTGCTCCGTGATCCCTCACAGATCAAATGGCACTGACAAATTAAATGGGAAGCCATCGTCTTGTTTCTTACTTAGAACATGAGGTTTGTGACGGTATCACGCGCTGACACCCCTCGTGTCCATCACAATGTCATCGGTATACACCAGGGCTTGTAAGCCAGAACAATAAGTCAACCGCGACAAAAACGTCCAACGAATCTATTGAAGAAAAAGCAGTATCAGAACCAGAGACCAATCTGTCCAAATTGATTTGGATAGAGGGGTTTCCTTATTGGGGAAAACGGAGAACATGTGTGTTTTATACAAAACAATGCAAGGTTGGGGGTTTTGGGAAAGGGTAAGGTTAAAGTTAATCAGTCGCTATTGAAAATGGTACTGTTCTAAAGCGTTTTTTGGCCTTGAGGAATATTTATTAAGAAAACGGGAAATGCAGCAAAACACCCCCATTACACCCCCCTTTACTTTCTTTCATACATATGTACTAACCTCTTCTAAAAGAGTCCCCGTTGATTTCAGTATTTTCTTTCATATAAATAGGTTATATTGTATGTGAACAGCACATGCTTTATTGGAGCAATCCAATTGCGTTTTCTGATGATTTATGGACCAAAGAAAGCGATATTAGCTGAGACCAAGTCGCGGTCAGTACCACTTCTCATGTCTATATGTATCAATTATTGACCTTTGATGAGGTGAATGTGTTTATATAAACCCGAGATAGCGATATTGACCGAGACGATCTCGAAGTCAATATCACGTTTCAGGTTCATGTAACACATATTCCCCACAATAAAAGTCCATAATTGTTATATTGGATTTCCAATAATTATACTTTTATCATTAAACAAGACGGAAGGTAAGCAAATCGTCAAACGAAAAGAACTACATTTGTCAAAGTGCAATGTGACGTTACAATTCAAGTGACGTCATAAAGAGAATATTTAAAACCTGCTATTTATAGAAATACTAACACCGAGTTGATATAAAAATAACGACCTTCACGTG